AAAAAGAAAATTAAAAAGTTGAAACCCTTTTCTATACCATCTAATTTATTAAGTAAAACTTTTTGTGAAACCCTTTTCTATACCATCTAATTTATTAAGTAAAACTTTTTGTAGCAAAAAATTTTTGTCACACATAATTTTTCAATTTTATTGCTATTTATAATACTCATTAATTTATAAATCATATAACACCACTTTCTGCACCTTTTTTTTGCGGTTTAATGTAAAATTTATTGTAAATCATCAATTGTTTTATTCAATGATTCATTAAATTATCAAACATCGATAATTTTTTCGAGAAGTATGAAATTTTAAAAAAAATGTCGTAAGTTTTACAATGTCTATTTTGACAAAAATTTTTACATTCCGTAATTTGTTCTATTGATATGTAGCAATTTTAGCTAACGCCAAATTTTTGAAGGCTACAGTAATTGAAATACAACCAAAATGTAGACAAATCTATCCTCAGCTATTTTACAAATGATACTATCATCTTGTCTAATATACAGTAATAAGAAACAAAAAAAGAAAAAAAAGAATTGAATTCGAATAAATTTTGTCGCAGACAATAGTCAATTATCTGAAATTAAAAGTTTACTTACGATAACGATTTCATTATAATCTGATTCATAGATAAGGTATAAATCTCAGTGCTACTGTTATCGTTATCAATAACCATATGATTAAATTCATCGTTACTTTATGATAATTTCATAGAATAATGCAACAAATGATTGAATCATTCAATCAAAAACATACCACATAGTATTTTGCATAACAGTAAATTATAAGAATGTGAATAGAGATCAGATTACTTTGGAATAATTATTTCAAATAACCTTTCAAACCAGTACTATACTAGCTTGTTGATGAAAATATTTAAAAAATTACTAATAATTTACAATGATTTTACCTTTTATGTATTTCATTTAATTTAAAAAAAAATTGAAAATTTATCCTACAAGCATTTTAAATATATTCGATGTGACATGTATTCAAATTATAGTAACATGTACCCATGTGTTGACAAAAAAGAAGCTCAAAAAAATCCATCAGATTTTGAAATGTTAAATAGACTATTGACAATTCATAGAAGTAATTCAAATAGGTAATCATCAATCTTCCTGCAATCTATGAGGCATGTATTGCATCACATTACGGTACAATCTACGAATCTATTACGTCGAAAGCTATAATCATAAAAGGTCATAATGCATATGCATAGTTGAAAAAAAAAAAAAGCAGAATGCATGCTCACTTCTGAAATCATCATGAATCTTTTATCAGATATGAGAATACCATAGCATAATACACATCCAGCTAATCATAAAGATGAATTCTATCCACTATAATATCCTATACTGTTACAGTATCATATGCTTACTAGTACAGGATATTATCACAGTATCAAATGTTCACTAGTACTGCATGTTATCACATCTATCGCAAATATATGCAGCAATCCGAACTCCTGTCCACTGTCACATCATTGCCCACTGCAATAATTCAAACAAACTAGAATGCAAACAAACCTGTAAAACTCAGTCTCCTTGATCATTTATATCGAAAACAATTCTGATAATTCGTAGAAATTAGGACTCGCAATCGATCAATATGCACGATTCTTCATGCCCAATGTCACATAATGAATAACATATTGATGGTTAGCAGGTTCTACACGTTAATACGAACACCAACTTTACTTATCATACAGTGATAAAATGAAATTATGATAAAGGAATCAATAAATAACTGTTGATAAAATTTTTAAATTGATAAGAAATAGTCATTTATGCAAGAATATTCAATCATTACAATTCTTCAGGAGTGATCTAATAACGCTACTAATATTTATTCTTATAATTATGCATTATTTCTCATTTATCATAGATGTCACCGGTTTTCTTCACCCATGACAAAGACTGAGGTTTCCTTCTGTTTCTTCGGATAGAAGTACCTCAAACTTGGGTTATTAAACCTTCATTCCTATGAGTTAGTTAATACAGAAACCAATTCAACAATTACAATATCAATAAGACAAATACAATGACAATATACGATATCAATAAGAGCAAAAGGGGAGACCATAGATCAAATGATGCCACGATATCCTCCGAACCAACTGACCTGTTGGAACGTGTTTTTTCGAAATGATTTGGCGCTCAGGATCTTCTTCTTCCTCGAACAGGATGGATCATGGTATATAGTTGTGAGGCCAATTCTGAGGTCATTTCTGGTGGTCAAAAGAATTATTATTGTTAGGGAACATAAACACAATGGATGCATAATATTAGCTTACATTGCACAGTATATCTACATATACAGTACGCTATAGCAACAGTATCAAAGCAATTATTGATTCATTGCTTCTCCTCGTGATTTCAGCGACAATAGGATCTTCTTAGCTAAGGAGGAGCAAAAAAAAAAATCAAAACAAAAAGTTTAAGCATTAATTTCAAATTGTTGAAGTGTTAAATTGATATGATAACTAATGAACAAATAAGGATATAATTGATTTAAGAATTAAAAAACAAAGTTGAAAATTGTGGAAAATGAAAAAAAAATTCTGAGGAATTTTAGTTCTGACGAAATTTAATTTTCGAGGATAAATTTTTCTACCAATGCATTGAATAGAAACAAAAATAATACATCAATTATAGATTATATTAATTGATAAGTTTTGTCGTGAAATAGTAAAGACTGCCAGATAATTTATTTGCCGAGCTCAGTGGTTGGGTAATCAAACTCC